TCTCAGCTTGTTGCATTCTTTCCTTTTGTCCCATTCCCTCTTTCCCAGGGATGTTAATGGCTTAAGTCTATTGGCTCTTGTGAGGTAGCAGTTGCAATAAATGTTAGACAAATTGGTAGGACTGGACCAAAAGAAATCTCATGAAGTTCAGTAAGGACAAGTGCAGTCCTGCACTTGGGACAAAACAATCCCATGCACTGGTATGACTGGAGTCTGACTGGCTAAACAGCAGCTCTGCAGAAAAGACCCAGGGGTTACAGTGCACAATAAGCTGAATATGAATGAATCGTGTGCCCATGTTGTGAAGGTGGCTAACAGCATGCTGGGCTGCATTAGTAGGAGTGTTGCCAGTACATCAAGGGAAGTGGTTCTTCCCCTCTATTCAGCACTGGTGAGGCTACATCTGGAGTACTGTGTCCAGTTTTGGGTCCCCCACTACAGAAAGGATGTGGACAAATATGAGACAGTTGAGTGGAGGGCATTGAAAATGGTTAGAGGGACAGCACCCTACTTGATCTCCAATGTACCTTTTTATGGAAATTGTATCTGCAGTCACACACAGCTTGATTTCTGTCTTGGTCTCGTAGGGGTAAAAGAGTAGGCATAAGCTCTGGTACGCTTCCCTGTCTCCCACCTCCTTCTATTCAGTGTTGCTGAATGTAGGTACTTTGGAGTCCTTGGCATCTTCGCTAATGTGCCATATCTCCTAAGTCAGGGGTACCACCTCCCTTACTCCATGCTAGAAGTGTCTACCTTAAGCATAATCTGAGCCCCATGCAATTTTTTTAATGGACTGTAGCTAACGTGGCAGATTGGCAATAATGGAGGAAGTTGTCTTGCCTGTGGAAGACAACTGTGACCTAGATGTGGGATGGTGGTGGGGCTTTGGAGATGTGTTGAGCCAAATACCTGAAGATATTGGCTGAAGGGGCACAAGGTTCCTTACAAATGTTCAGAAACTACCCATGCCTCTACTTTGACACTTTGTATTAATGAGGCTGTTATGGGCCATATTAATTATTTATGGCAAACTCCTTGTACAATTTACCTTTACCACTTAAAAATAGGGGAGGGGGAGAAGTAGTACTAACTATTTCCTACTGAAGCAATGTCTACATAGGTCCTAAGTACCTGGTTGTAGTTGTAGTGACTAAGCAGGCTATGTATAGAGGTAGCTTTAATTGTTATAAAACTTGGGGGGGGTTGTCCCTCAGGAGAATGTGGCAGCTATAATGTGCTTGTTACCCATGTGCTCCTGTAGCAATACAAGTCAGAAAAACTGACCCCGAGTGAAATAGGGTTAACTTTGCACTGGTTCTGTTATAATTGTATCACTACAGGCACATGCAGAGATAACACTTATGTCCTGACAGCTTTTATCAATCTTACAATATCTATACAGTGGTTTGTGGGGGATTATTTTAGGTTGGTGTGTATACCCAGATGCAAATAGCGGGTGAGGATCTCTTTCCTCACTTGAATAAGAAATATTATTCTACCAACCCCTCAGTTCTAAATTGTAAACTACCAGATGTAATTTGACTTAGTTAAAATTTAAATTCTCAACACCGACGGGGCAGAGTTGATGTCTTGCATTCCAAGGAGGCAGTTAGGTTACGCCTGTGCAGGTTAAGTGAGCATTATGCAGAGATACCTCAAGTTTAGCTGTGTTTATGTGGTTTCTGAATGTAGTCAGTCCAGTTACGTTATCAGCCCAGGCAAAGTACTGTTCTGAGCCATGTCAGTGTTGCAGTATTGCAGTTGTATTATTTCCATTTTCTTTGTGTGGCACTGCTGTGAACCTTACATACTCTGAATTGCTAGGATATCTCTAGGCCAGAGATATCAAACATGGCCTGAAGGCCAGATGTGGCTCACAGAGCTCCTCCGTCTGGCTTGACAGGCAATTGGAAGTTATAGGGTACACTGAGTAGCCTGTTGCATAATTTGGAACTTTTGGCTCCAAAGGGCATGGGATCGGAGTGAGGATTTGTATAGCCCCAATCGCCCTCTGGTGGTTTGCCTATTGCTACCACTGGCAGCTCTTTCTCCTTGGCTGTTGATTCTGGTGCCCTACACTGAAGCCAGCACTGCCATGTGCCCCATTTTGGAACATGGAGGTTCCAGCCTGGGGCATGGGGCATAAGATGAGTTTGACACCCCTGTTCTAGGCACTTCTAAATGTTAACTGCATAATGACCCATGACAGTGTCTCTCAGTAGCCAGGATGTCCTTATACATTTCTGCAATCTCAGATCTATGCAAGTGTCCATGAAAGATCTTCTCTTTCAAGGCCCAGATACTGACTGTACTATGCTTTTTTTTTTTTTTTTTTTTTTTTTTTTACTTTTTGATATTTGGCTGACTACCTTCTGACTGACTTCAGACTAATACGGCTAACTACCTGTACCTCAAACTACCTAATTGCTAGTATGTCTCCTTAACTAGGTAATTAACAAGTTCTAAATGCTGCTTTGTGTGTAATGAAGATGAATTGCTGCAGGAGGAGGAGGAGGAGGAGGAGGCTGTGTACATGAGCTGCAGGACATCCTGCACCTAACTAGTAAAATGCTCCATCCATGTTTACGTTAATCTACAAAAATCTAGCACAAACTAGTTTGGCAACTGAGAAAAGATGACTTACTTTTAGTCCCTTGAGCCCTGTTCAAGAAAAAGGATAGCAGCCTTCTGTTTCTGGTTTAAACGGTTGAGAACTGCTGGCTTAGGGCACTCCTCCAAAACCTTTTTTGAATTTGGTTCCCTGGTTGAGAACTACTTTTGTGCTGCTTCATCTTACCTCACTAGTTCTTAACCATGGTGCTGCCTAACACTTCTGCTTATTTTATGGTTATCTGGCAACCCTAAAGCAGGCAGAAGCAGAGGCATAAATGAGTTTTGTGCCCTAGGCAACACTTAACCCCATCCTCTCTGCCCAGGGCCACAGGGGTGTTGAGAAGTGTGGTTTACTTGCCCCTGGGGTCCTTGTACTTCGCTCCTATAACAGATGCTACAAGAGGCTGCTTCAGCCCACCCTTCTGGGAAGTGTGAAGGGCTGTGGCTGGAGTGCAAGCTCTTTCCACAGCCTTTTGTGGTCTGACACTGCATGCTTCTCCCAAGAACAGAAGCATTGGATAATCCCACCTGCCCAGCATGCCTCTGTTTTCTGCATGGGGTTGGACCATGAAGGGCTGTGAAGAGTGCATGCTAAAGTTGCAGCTGCTTCCCAGTCAGCTCTGCAAGAGTCATGTAGGACAGTTATACTAATTCAAAATGAAAAGAAAATTGTAGGCACCTAAAATTACAAGCAACTCTTCAGATCTGTAATCCATCTTTGTTTGTACAGAACAGCATTTTGCTGGAGAAACTCAGCTTTGGGCTGGGTTTATATGAGTCAGGAATCTGCCCCTGAGTTCTCAACATTTTAGCTCAAATGATGTATTTCCAGTCCATCCTTAGGAAACACAACTCAAGTGTTTCCTAGATTTTGGTGGCCAAATTAAGTAATTTTGTCCATACACAAGTCCATGTTTAAGGAAATTTTCAAGGGACTGTTTTACTACAAACTTAAATCAGTTTTTAAATATCTGCTAATTAAGTCATCTGCATTATGTTAATTTATTGGATTCTGCCAGGACTTTTTAATATCCAAGATCTGTGGTCATGTGTAAAAACAGTTTAAATTCCTTTTACGTAACTTTATGAGAGGCTAACTACTGTATGTGTGTTGTTGTTGTTTCTTCCCCATCCCTGTTCCCACTCCAGTAAGGAGACAGAAACTTTAAGAAATGAACTATCATTGCAAAGGATGAAAGCTTTGTATGAGAGCCAGAGAGTTCTGGAGGTAGAAAGGAAACTTTTTACACATGAGAGGCATTTGCAGATATGTCAGAGTGAGAACATGAACTTACGTGTTTTGCTGGATGAGCTGAAAATGAAGTATGAACCTGAAGGTAAATATCTCTGATAACTAAGACAGAATAGAAAAGATAAATATTTGATCCTCAATTCTTGACATGACAAAAAGCTTCATTCAGTCAGTTCAAGAGACATCTTTGTCCTGATCATAAACATACTACTTGGTAATTATGTTTAACATCTCCCTTTAACATAGACCATGAATTGCTGGGACAAGAATGTTATCTAAAATCATTATTAAAATGATGAATATATTTAATTTAATTTTACTAGATCATGAGGCAGGCAGAAGTGTGCTCGGTGTGTGGGAAAAGCAGCTTCTCCCCCTCAGCACTTCCTGCAGCACCCGCACAGAAGCTGTGCTGGGCTGCCCTCTACTCACTGCTGCCTCTGGGCTGCCCACCATGCTGAGCACATTTCTGCCTCACCGGCGCTGCTGTTCCTGCTGCTGTCCAGCATGAGCAGGCAAGTCTGCAGCAGGCATGGGGCGGGGATGGGGTGTATGCAGGTCCCCACCAGTACCACAGGGCTGGGACCAGCAGTTGCTTACAAAGGCAGTCCAGCATGGAGCCGTTCTAGCCCCACTGTGTGCCTAAGGCACTGTATTGAATTTCTCCCTTCTCCCAAAATGGGACAAGGAACCCAGAATGGTAAAAGATCAAAACTCTAATACAGGGGTGGGCAAAATACGGTGCAGGGCACACTGGGGCTGCATGCTGGTGGTGGTGGTGGGGAAGTGCCAGCGGCCGCTTGGCCTCCAGGCTGTTACGGGGCAGAGGCGGGTGCTGATTGGCTGAGGAGGGCATGTGCAGGGACTCGCATGCACACCCCAGCATACCCACAAACTCCCTCCCCTGCAAACCCCACAACCACACCATCCCTCACACACCCCACAAAAAACGAAGCCCCCCACACTCTCACGGGTCTCTGGGGAGAGAGCCCTCTTCACTACTACCTGCACATACCCCACCACACAGATGCGCGCCCTCCCCCTCCACACACCCCACAAACCCCATGCCCACACACTCAACATTCCCCACCCCCGTGTCCACCCATAACCACCCATACTCCCACACTGTCTCGCACAGCCCTCCACACTCCTCCACGCCCTCCCGCAATATACCAGAGTAAGACTCCATTTTGAGCTATTAGGCAATTACCTTTATATACTTGATGCAAACACACACATCAAGGCAAAAAAATCTTATTAAAATAAAATTAAAATATGTTATTGTTAGATTTTTAATATCTAATTTGTGTTTTTTTTCCCGGTTCTAAGATGGCAAACCCCCTTCCCAAAAGGAGTACTTCTGGGGCAAGGGCAGGGACTTCTGGTGACAAAGGGCAGGGGTTAAGGTATGGGACTTCTGGTACCAAGATGGCAGCCAGAGGGTGGGGCACCTGTTAAGTAGCAGGGCTACCCTTGCAGTCCTCGACAGCTCGCCAAAACGCTTAAAGCAGTCCTCCACCTGAAATAATTGCCTGCCCCTGATTTTAGAAGTATCAATGCCCAAAAGATTGATTAATACAATTAATCATCTTCGTAACTTGGAAATTTCAAACTTCAGGTAGGTCACAAAAGGGAAGAGGTGACTTTAGCCCTGCTAGCTGAAGACAGTAACTCCATCTTGTTCATCTTGCAACCAGAACAATACTGTAAAAATAATAGGTAGTTTCTTAATGAAAAATCTGGGTAAAATGCAAGGTTGTGAGGAAAGAAAAAGGATCTCAGGAGATAGAAGTGCTCTTAGACAAGATTTTATGGAAAAGAACCAATTTCTGAGGTACTGGCTAGAGCTCTACCTTTTATTTTCCAGCAGTCAAGACAATAAACCAAAAAGCCAGTGAAGGATGAAAAATTGATAGGGTGTTTTGCAGTTCAGTATGTTCTCTTAAACGTCTAGGCATAACTTGGAAGAACTGATATTGTCTGCAATAAAAAAACAAAAAGTCACAAATGAAAAGCCTGTTCTCTCCTAAATATTAAAAAAGCTATTTAGTTAGTTTCTAAAAATACATGAGTAAGTTGGTAATTGAACTCAGTCTAAGTGTTTCTTGTTGCATGCAAATACAAATATATTTTGTTTCTTTTCTAGAGCTAGTAAAAGTTCCAAAAAGTGTAACAAGGAGAGAGAAGATACCAGTAGGCACAACTTGTGAATATTTAGATGGTAAAAATGCTTCAGTAAAGGAAAATGCTTTCATTCGGTCTCCAAGTAAGGAAGAAACAAAGTTAAGTGCCAAGAACTCTGAACAAAGTAGTGGTTCTGTGAAGAAGTATGCTGTTGAGACAGAACCAGTGAATATAGTTCTTCTTCCGGCAGCACAAGTGACTGCACGTGAAAAGGAAAGGGAGAGTGTTAAAATCAGAGATGACCATTGTGATACCAAAACTGCAAATGAAAGAGAAGGAAATAATTCTCTTACTTCAGCATCTTCCAGGTCAGTGTCATCTTGTGTGTATGCTCGAGGCAATCAGCACAGACCTGCATCTTTTTTATTTCGCTGCATGAACTATGCTATGCACTTCTTTATCTATTTTCTCAGTGTTGCATGCAGTGTTATTTCTCAATTTCAGCTGCCTACATTCAACTTCTCAAAGTTGTTTAGAAGGATGAAAATGATGGCTAATGAAAAAGATGCTTAGAATCATGGAACTGCATCTGCACTACTTAAATTTCCACATTACCTAAAATAGCATGTTATTTACACACCTTTCATATAATCATGACGGCTCAAATTCATTTTTTTTCTCAATTTTTTTTGTCATTCATTCAGTTTGAGACTGCCATACAAAGTAAAGTTT